CTGCTCTCTAATTATCTTTGATTCAAAATCTTTGAATAAAAAAGCATGCAATCATGAGAAAATAGAAGAGATAACAACTCTCAGATACTAAATCAATACCCATGCCTGGATTTATCATAGTTTTATAAACTAATATCCATTGCTAATTCATACGACACTGAGATTTGTCTCTAATGAGTTCTTTCCTAGAATCAGTGATTGCCTGTGTCATTACAAATATTTTTCTATCATTATTTTAAAATAAAATAGTATTAGATTAAATATAATATTTTCTTATGAAACATTCAAATTCTGAACAATATAATCCTAGCGATGTTACAGATTCCAAATATATCTACATATCTATGATGTCCCAACCTGAAGAGAAACAGGAAAGAAATAAAAAATGTATTGATATATGTTAATATTTATAAATACTAGTTACATAATCACACCAATATTATCATGTCCAGATGTCAAAAGAGTATACACTAATAAATAACAAATTAATTGGTTACTATAAGGTTGTAAAGATTTTTAACTCCTATGCAATATTTTTATAATGTTTGTTTTTATTTTGTGATAGCATCAAAAGTTTCAGTATCTAGAAAGAAAGCAAATACATGGGTTAGGAATTCTATTAAGCGTATGTCAAAGTTAGGAATATTTTTCATTTGCTAAGCTATCAACATTATTAGAGAAGATGAGACAAAGCACTTCAAATAGAGATTGATGCAGAGTTTATCCTTAATTCAATAATTTATGAGATAATTCATTAAATTAAATTATGTGGGAGAGTCACATAAATCTTTTCCTCTAAATATATCTGGATGAGCAAAGAAAAGAGGTATTTTACTCAATGTACTATAATTTGTGATTAAAAATGTTAACTGCTATTAAAAATACTGATACTTATGTTCTGAGATTTTAGTGGTCAGAGACAATACTTTGGCTAAAGAAATTGGGGAAATTTTCATAATAGAAAGAATGGATAGAACAGGCCTTGGACATAGATAAGATTATGCTTGACAGATAAATGGAGAAATTAGAAGGCAGAGTGGCATTCTCTTTCCTAATTTTCAGTTCATGCATTTCATTTATCTTCTAGGTCAGCTACAAAATGTTAGTGTGCTGGGCCATGCAACGTTTAAGTTTTTAGTTAAGGTCAGGTTACTAATGGTATAATTACTCTCTGGAATTGAGTTCAGAGTCTGTCTGTGTGAGCTCAGCAGTAAAAGTCAAGCACTCCAAAATAAGAGCTGGGCTCAGTAAGGTGATCAGTGTCCTTGCATTGAGCCTGTCATTGTCTTGGCTCCTGCTACCCTTTGGCTACTCCTCTAACTCTGTAGATGGGATCTTTCTCCTTCATCCAACTTTCACTCTGAGAGTATCCCCTAGGCTCTATCCAAGTTACCTCATATTTATCATTGGCTTTAAATTTTATGGTTGTACTATAGTATATTCTCAAACTATGTCCATCTAATTGCATTGTAGACCCTATTTTGGTTTCTGGGCTTTTAAATGCTGATCATGTGAAAACAAAACAAAACAAAAATAGGGGTTGTAAAGGGGACATGGGAGCTATCAACTATACTCAGTGCATCTAGGGAGACACTCTACAAAACTCAGTTCATCTGGCTGATGGTTCACTGGTCAGGCCTATAGATGCAGTGCTTCTATCTGAGTGGTGTTTGGAGACATGAGCATTATGGCGTGCTCCAGGATCTCTAAGGTGACAACCAACAGTGCTGGTGATGGAGAATATGTATTAAGAAATGAACCTGGGGTCCTATACATACAAAGCAAAGTAGTAACTACTGACACTTGCTTATCCTGTTTTGATAACAATAATATTGTTGTTGATATTATTAATAATTCTTAGTAAAATTCTTAAAATTCTTAGTAAAATTACTCAGCAGAGAAGGATCTCCTTGACATCAACAGCTGTCATTGGGAACATGTCCCTTTGAGAGGACAGAAAATTGGGCCACACCTGTTGGTGCTTGGGATTCTGTCTGCTAAGGGGCCAGATCCAGTGATACTTGGGGACCACGTGGTGCTGGGATTGAATTGGGATCAGCTGCATGCAACCAATTCTGTGTCTCTGAGCACTCACTAGTAATATTTAAAAACCTGGATTTGGTTTCTTCTTCCTTTTTAACTGACTCATTCACCACTGTATCTCCTACTGCCTAGAATAGTACCTAGCCTGTCATGAAAACACTATTAAAAATTAGTCTGTTTCCTTTGTCTTTGATGTGTTGTTACTTTTTCTTCTTCTTTTTTTAATGTGATTTTGTTACCTAGAGTATCTTGCCTGCACAGCAAAGCCTGGCAAGCTACCTGTGATATATTCGATATCCAAACACAGTAACAACAAGTCTAAGTCTAACAACGAAGACGTTACTGGGTCCACCCGAGCAAGTTGATAAACAACAGGAGGACAGTGCTACATTATTAATAATAATAACTCCCAGGAACTTTACATTCTTTTGGATTAAGCTATTTTGAATGTGTATTGGACTTTTTCCTATATAACCACAATAATCCAGATTAAAAATACATAGTGAGAATTCTGGAATGCTGGAAAGGTACTTGGAAAAATGTACTTAATAGTCTTAAGCTGCAGTTTCACATAGCCAGTCATATGGTCAGTGAACTTCTACTGATAACTTCATTGCCTTCCGTGAGGTAGAAAATTCCTTCAAAACACACATCAATTCAGGTTTTGAATAAGTATAACTACATAACACAAACATAAAATAACTTGTCCACAAAAATTAATATGTTTCCATCAGGTGATAAATAACTCCTGAAGTTCAATAATGTATGTCACAAATTCAATAATAAAAGTTTCATGTATAAAATGACTGACAAAAATATATAAACCTCTTATTACTTTTTGGTAAAATGTATATTCCTTTAAGTTAAAAATTCTTGGTGTCAGTGTAACATGATGTATTTTGAAAACTAATTCAAGGAGAAAAAATATTATTAATGAATAATAAGATAATTTATTTTAGAGTATCTTTACAAAAATAGACATGCAAAATATTATCTTACTGAGTCTTAGCTTCAGTTATGCTGAAAATAAAGCTTGATTTCTTATGTATAAATATTCTTTCAGCATAACAGAAATTATACTAAAATTTACTATTCTTCTACAGTAAATTTCAGGTAACTATGAAGTTTATACATGAGCCTGTATGTAAAAGCAATATTATATTTCAGTAAGGAATAATAGCGAGACAGAACTTTTTCATGAACATTTGACCTAATGCTGTAGATATACCAAAATGAATCACTTGTAACTCGATTTGATGCGAATACTGAGAAATAATTTTTTTCAAGAATACAGACTGGTTCATAAACTGACAAGCAAAATTCCATCACTAACCTATTTTGTAAATTCACATTAAAAGTACTGAAGTTAAATAAGTATACTGCCCTAGTGTCCAATAAAACTTTTCTAAATATGATGTACTTTTTAAGGTACACTTAGTTTATTTTTTATTTTTAACTTTGAAGTTTTGGCTCTTTCTCTACTTTTATTCACTTATTCTAAATATTTTTCAACAAATAAAATATATTATGATCCTCATGCCCTAACTATATTTATTTATTGGAAGTAGTCAATAATCCAAGTTAGTTATGTATTATTAAATGATAGTTTTCTGTATTTGTTATTCAACTAAATTATCTTCTTTAATCAAAATATAATCAAAGCTTTATGACAGGATTTTTGAAATGATATTATATTTGAGAAAGTACATAAGAGTATTCCCTAGGATAAGTTCAGAGAGAACAGTGCGGCTGGTAAACAGACATTTGATTGAACAGAGCTAATTTTCTTCAAGGACTTCTACATTTCCTCTTAGAAACACCTTAAAAATTCTGAAAAATTACAACAGAATTAGAAGCAATGGATTTATCAGTTAAAAAAGAGTGTGGAGAGGAAGCAACACTGTTTTATAGAAATAGATATTGTTCCTACTGTAATTTAAGGATATAGTGATGAATCCCTTTTCAGAATACAATATGCAGTATATATTGGAAAGTGCCTAATCCTGTATATTTATGAGTTGAATTAGTGCTGAAGAGTCTAAAGTAAATGCAGAGCACAGTCACAAAATCAATGTGGGTATGGATTTTCTGACTTTTTTGGACCTCCAGTACATTTTCATATATTTGTGCAAATTTAAATAATTTTTAAGAAGACATCCATCTTGTTTTCTAGAGTCGTCTAACTCCAAAACATTTTTAATGAATGTCTGTCTCTCATTTCTGAGTACTAATGACCTCACACAAACTGAATAAAGCATGAAAATGTTGGAAGAAAGATTCCATACACGGTTTTATGTGTTTATTTATTTTTAGAAAGTTTACTTTTGTTCTGTTTAGTGTAAAATGCTTTAATAACTGCTCTCTAGAGGGCTCTATCCCTTTATTTTTGTTTAAATTGAAAAATATAGATATGATCGATTTGTTGGTATAATATTTAACAAAATTGACTTTAATCAGCATACACAATGTTCAGTGTATTCAATTTGAAATCACTCAGAAGCTGAAAGTAAAAGCAGTTATTAGAAGGGTTGATTATTTTCATAAATTGTTCAGCAAAGCCTATTTGTATTCATCATCCTTGTAGAACTGACTTCAGGGGACTTGAATCATTACTGTTAGTTCTCTAAATCTATCAGGCACAGAAATAGGTCTTCTCAAACAACCGTTGATATTTCTGAGACAATATAAAACACAAGTGATTAAAAAAAACTTAGTTGTTTTAGCTATAGTACCTAAAAATACTCATTTTGTGGAGCGAATGGCCTGAAAAATAGAATCTATGTTTAAGTTAGCCCAGGCATGGACAGAGCAAGGAAGGCATAATAAGAAAGACATTGTGTATAATCCATTGATACACTGCATGCCTTATTGTTTTAGGATGTAGCTAACAGTCAAGTGGTCAGATCAAGGTAAGCAAAATTTGGATCACAAATTCAGAACAACAGCTTCTCTCTTACCTTCCACTGAGGAGGAAGCCGATAACCACTGCCAACAAAATGACTCCCACTGTCACAGACACAGCAATTATAGGAATTTGGCTTTGATCGTTGGAAGCTGCAACTGCTGATAAGAGACACAGAAAATGGAGCTTGTGGTAAAAGTGATTGTATGCATTCAGATAAGAGTCACTTAATAGTTGGTAATCAATGCATAGTCTAAGTAATTCACCCACCCAGGGCTGAGATTTCCACCTCATATTTCTTCTCAAATGTGTGTAATTCGAAAGACATCTTTGGAGAAAACATTTACTCTCCAAATGGAAATTTCAAAGAATCACTAAGTCACTGTTTATTTCCTTGTCATCGAAAAACAATTGTAATTGTTTGCACAATATTTATCTAGGGATCTTAGATTGGCAAGATAAAATGGAACTGAATCCTTGATTTCAAACACCATTATCTAAATGTGAGGTACTAAATATACGAGATTTGACATTTGAGAGTTTGCTGTGGTTGTTCTCTAGGAATAAATCTCATTAACTCAGATAGGATTTTTCCCTATAGAAATAGGTTGAAATTCAAACTGATGTATCTAAGACCTCAGTGAAGTTTAACGTAATATTACTAATCACAATGCAGTAAAAACCCATAATTTCAGGCCCATAATCAGCATAGATTACTTTAGAATTTTAAGAAATCTGTATTATAATTAATTTATGTTACTTCTTACAATACATTGACTTAGATCTAATATTTTATAACAACATTACGATTATCATGACAAAGATAAGTTTGAATAGAATAGTTGTACCTAAATAAACAAAGTCATTTTTCTGTTGTATTGAGAACTAAAGACAATTAATTTTTAAAAAATGTAGAAAAGATACATTTCACTGATGTTCTCAAGAAATCCTCAGTAGGATATCTACCTGGATAATTAATGACACGTTTTGATGAATTGTGCATTAATTATCCTCATGAAATTAAATTTTAACTATTACAAAGCATTATGACAATCTTTCCATGTTTAGTTTTTGCAAGCCATTACCAGATCTCAGTCCTACTAACAATATTGAAAAACAAAAGCTTTTTTTTCTATTTTCTGTACCACTTTCCTGATTCTTTCTGGCCGATTGACTCTGGCCATATTTTTGCATCTTTTTACACTTCCATTTCCTCTCAGACCAGTCTTCAGCGTTCATTATCACCAACATCAATATCTTGCTGATTCAATCATAAGAACAACTATTCTTTACAATCTTAGCCTCTGCTCTTACTCTCTCTCTTCCTGATGATAATGATTGCGATTCAATGGCATCTGTACTGATTTTTAGTTCTCTGATGCTGAGGTATGTAGTAAGTAATTTAATAATGGTATGATGTATAAATAAGTTCATGTCATCCCACACTATTGCTAAAATTTAATTGTTAACATCCAATTAATGCTATCAAATCATTTTCTTAAGTATTTGTATTTTTCTCCCCAGGGCTCACTACTTCTTAAAAAATCTGATGTATTTCATAAATGGTCAATATTTTAATTTAATTTCAACAACCACTCTCTAATGTTATATTTTACTGTTAATTTACTAACAAGTACAGCTCCTTATTTGAGTCCTCCTCATTCTCTTAGTACTAATTCATTATCACCTCCAGCTGTTTAAAATGTTAAACTTTATAACATAACTTACATGCCTGAGACCTGAGTTTGATCCCCTGTACTGTAAAAATTAATATGTGCATATAATGAAGGTAAAAGAATGTGATCAATTTTGAACTGAATATTTATATATAACTGCACAAACATTTGGTCAAATAATCACACTACACTTTTCAAAAATTTTAAGTTAATGCTTAGAAATTATTGGCTGGCAGTATCAATCATGGGACAATTTTTTTTTAAAAAAGCAGTGAATGTGGAAAAATGGCAGCACAGAGGATTTACGTGATAATGGTGCTATTCTGTCTTTTGACCATGTTGTTACATACAAAAATCTACAAACATAGTCAGATTGCATAGAACTTAAACACACACACACACACACACACACACACACACACACACACACGTGAAATTGGTGGACTGCATCAATATCAATATCCCTGTTACCCTTGTTACATAGTAAAAATAGTAGCTTGGGAGGCCCGTAGGGGTAAAACAAGATTAAGTGATTGAAACTTTCAAAATTTATGATAGGAGAAAATAGGGAAAAAGCTAGTTTAACTGGTTGGTAATTATTGGTGATTTTATTCATTGGTGCATATTTATCTTTGCTATTAGGAATGGGTATCACACCAGTTTTAATTATATTAGCTATATTCATAGTAAAATTAAGAATAAAGTGAAGAAATTTCTGTATAAAAAAAGTCAAGTTCTAGAAAGGACAAAATAGTTGTTGATTTTTACCCATCCTCATTTACGTAACTTTTCTAAAATTAGTATTTTTTCATTTCTATTTTTAACTTTTATTTGCATTTAGCTTTATGGCTCCTTTTTTACAAACAAGGTAAGATAGATACAAATTCAAACAAATTTATACCAATATTATGACTTATTTAAAATATATTAAGCAATAAATGTTTAGATCAAGTAAATCAAAATATAATGTGAATACATTATTGTGAAAAAAGGAACCAATTATAATATAATTTATGATTATATAATTAAAATTTTATAAGTTTTCTTTTAACATACCTGAACAAGAAAGATTTTCCTTAGTGATGGTGACTCATTAAAGTTGGTGTTCTTAATTGTCACCAACCAAATAAAACTTGGAGGTAACTTTAATAGAAAAATGCAAAAATGTTTAAGTTTCTATAATCAAGTATTTACAGACTGTGTTGTAAAAATATTTTCTGGGGAAGAATGAATTTATGCAATCATGTAAATAACTGCTCATAAAATAATTAAGCCAATTTTACAAAATGCTATGAAAATAACTTTCAGATTAATGAGACATAAGACAAATGCTACAAGCCTTTTAAAACAATGTGCATATCTTTTACACCATACTAGCCTCAAGAAAGAAGGAGATATACCTTTAAGTTATTTGAATCATAGTACTCAGAAGTATAAGAAATCCTTTTCTTTTAACAATGAACAAAAATATCATTCTCAAATTATTCTTTAAATAAAATTTCTTCACATAGAATTAAATAAACCATATTTTTACTCTTTGGAGAGTAATTTTGTTGACTTCCCCAAGTGTAGCAAAAAATAATATATAGTAGGCATTCAATACTTTCTTATTGAATTATATCCAGAAAGGTTTCTACATGAAGATCAAGAGGCTGATCTGTGGTAGATACTTTTTACAACTAAAAGTCCATTTTAAAATATTCACAAACACATGTACGAGTATTCATAAAAATAAACTTTCAAACAAAAAAGCAAGAAGAGAGTGTGACTGTAAAATATTTTATTTATCTATAAGTAACTCTAAAACCTATTTCTTCTTGCAGTGGGGAGCACACTCTTCAGTGATCAGGGCTAATTCCTAGCTCTGCACTCTAAGGGAACAGTCCTGGCAGGTCTCAGGGAACCATATTGGGATCAGGGATGAACCAGGGTCAGCGGCATGCAAGGCAAGCTCCTTACCAGTTGTGCTATTTCTCTGATCCCTAAAGTCTACATTTGTGGTAAAAAAAACTGTGAGAAAAGAATTTATCTTTACAAATTAGGTAAGAGAGATATTAAAAATTAAGGTTTCAGATTATTGTATGTGTAAACTATGTGTAAAATGATCTTGTGTTAGTTCTCTTGGAGATTAGAATTTAATGATTTTGGCACACCTGGAAATTCAAATGTAATAAAAATACAAGGGAATGAAGGCTACAAATTGCGAAGGAAAAGTGGTTATTGAACAGGACAACTTTCTAAAAACTACATAGGTTTTATATTTTTATTCATTCATAATAATAATTATTATTATTATTGTTTTGGGGAGGAGTGCTCAAGGCTTCCTCCTGGATCCGTATTTAGGGAGCACTCCTGGCAGTGCTACGGAGATTATGCAGAGTGCTGACGATTGAATCCAGATAGCTACAGGAATAGCAAGTGCCTTTCATGCTACAGTATATTTCCAGTCCCCCCTTTTTATGATTTATAAGAGATTTCTTTACTTGTATAGTTTTTAAAGTACCCAAGCATAATTTGTGGCCTTATATTATGGTTTTGTTCCCAGAGATGGTAAATTGTATAAGCAATTCACATTACTGAGGACACCGAAATAGAAACAAAGCTGATATAGCATAACTTCTTAAATAAACCTTTTTTCAATTTCCAGTTCAGGGTTTATGATATGAAATTAAATAATTAATGATTTGCCAATACAGAAATTTTCCTGCTAGTTAGGTTTATTCTTAGCAAATCTATCAACAAATTTTTCTGAATAGCTTTAAATGTTTAATTTCAAAAGACTCTATTAAACCTAATATGTGAAGATTTCCATGTATATATAATAAAATAATCTGTTATTTTTCAATTGCAAAAAAGTTAAAGAAAGACAGAAAGCTAATTTTAAGTAATCAAAAATATTTTGCAGATAATTCTATCTTGCTAAAATTTTATCTTGATTTTTTCTACATAGCTGTATATAATAAAATCATAATTTGCCATACATAGACATATATGTGATTGCTAAGTTCTTGGTTTTGAAAGGGAGCAAATATGCTCATTTTGACTTAAAAATCAATTGTTATTATATCTTTGGATTTAAAATGCGCATATACATATACACACATACAATATTTACACTACTCTGTGTTTTTCCCCCCCAACAGTCTTCAATATTATCAGTTCTTTTTAGCTCCAAACAAGATGGCTTATTACCTTCAAAATTTTTGTTTTTTTGATACGTACAATCTAGGACAAGTAATTTAAATATTTTGTTTGGTATTAATGAATTAGACGTAATCTTATGCATGATTATAAAAAGTGTACATAAAGAATTCTCTATAATTATTTCCAGATCTTCCTCTCACAGATAATGCTAAAGATTTATTTTTCAGAAAAACAGAAAAATAACAAAACAATCTGATTGGCTCTGAGGGCACCATTTTGTTGCCAAACTTAATACGAACTAGAACTCCCTATGGAATATTCCTAAAAAGACTGAACCTGGTAGCATGGGTTCAATAAAACAAGTAAAAAAGTAAATGGTGGTAATTCAATAAAGTATGGTGGCAGTGGGGGAAAGCAAGTCTTTAAAAGCAAGGTATTTCGTAAAGAACTCCTGAAGTTTCATCTCCCAGTAGACTAAATGTGATGAGGGGCAGGGACCGATGTGTTAACCAGCTAACCTACCATAATTGCATGACAGATGGTTGTTACCTGAAGAGGTCATGCTAAGAGAGGAAGAAGTAACAGGAGACTGACAGAATGCCCAGGGAGAGTATTGATCCACTGACTCTTTGCTGGTAACCATTACAAAGACATGAGTTGACAGTAATTAAAATGACTTACACACTGGGGTGGTTTCAAACTCGAATCTTCGACTGAAGACACCATAGCCTGCTGCAGTGCGGGCTCGAATTTGGAAGACATATATGGAAGCAGGTTTCAAGCCCTCGGCAGTTATAGTTGTCTCTTTCGATTTGATAATTGTATAGCTGCTCTCTTGGTCCTAGGGTTATGAATGTACAAAGAATGAAAAAATAAAAGTTAATATATGAATTGCTAATGATGACAAGCCTATGCTCATAGATCAGCAACAAAATAGCAACAATTATATTGGCAATTGGTACCCAAGTATTGGTACCCAAGTATTAGGAAATCAACCTACACATGGCAAGTATATTAACTGTATAGGGCTTCTTAAGTGCTTTTTAGAAATCAAAGATACTAGCCATCACCCTTTCGTTTAGCAGAAATAAGCATGCAGACTTCTAAAACATACTTGGAGATAAAAAATTTCAGAAACTGCATTTTAGTAGTAGTATAAGAATGTTCACATCTCTCACAAATGCACCAGTCCAAAGAGAAAGGTTCCAATATCTCATGTACGGCCAGAAATAACGCATGCTCTATTTCCTCTGTGAATTTGGTTTCTAATAATATTTAGAATTTGGAAAAAAAGTAGAAAAGTTCACTGAAGAATTTTAACTTCTATTAAGTCTACACAGGGAGCATTCAAAAAAGTAAATAAAGCATAAAATCAGATTAGAAAAAGCTTTCTAGTTTCTAATTTTAATGTGTTTTGGCTAGGTGAATAGTAATTGATGACAGTGTAGGAAACACATTGCTAGAACAATGGTCTGGAAACTAAATCCAAGAAGAACAAAAGTACATACCTATTATTTAAATCTTATTATTATCTGTCAACTTACTGTATTAAATATAAAAATCTCAGACAAAAACCCAAACTTCCTAACAAGAACTTTCTCCTTGTTCTTCCCTTAAATCTTTCTGTGTGAATAATCAGCAAAAGTCTGTTGCTGTTGTGGATTTTCTACAGGTTTCCTTATATTTATCACATTTCTTATTAAATTTGAATTAACTTTAGGTAGTGACTAGCAACACCCCCCACCCCCTCTATTTTAAACGTTTTTATTTGGTGTAATGAGTTTACTGATGACTATAAGTCATCATTTTTAAAACATTTTAGAAAATATTCTCTTATAAATAGACACACATGCTGATTTATATTATAAAGATTAAATGAGCATGACATAGACTATACATTTTATTCTTAATGAGAGGAAATTAAAAATTAGAATATAGCACTATAATAGGGAATATAACCAATATTTATGCTCAAAATTTTCCTCTTAAATGGAGAAACTAATGAAGTCATTCCCCTTCTTTGCATTTGTACTTAATAAGTGTATTCCATATTAAAACCTGAGTATTGAAACATGAAAGGTAATTTTACTTTTGCCCTTCATATTCACATCTGTAGCAATGTTTTTGCATAGTCACACCTGTAAAAATTGGGTAGAGAAAGATTGTTTCCTGGATATTACAGTTATGTTGTGTAAAGTAACAGATAATGTTTCAAAACTTTTAAGAAACTGAAAATAAATCACTTTGTATTTAAAATAAAAATACAAATCATTTTTATTTTTAATCTGACACCACAAGCTTGATTTCTATCCATTTATGCTTCTACTAATACAACATAAATTACACAGTTTACAAACATTCTTTCATTATTTTTATTTATTTATTAATTTATTTTTTATGTAGGAGTACTGCTATTTATTCAGCCACTGATTAGCTGATTAAATTGGGCATGAACTTTACCTTACTTTTTTTTCATGATTTTATTTATTTATTTTCTTCTTATATTTTTTATTGAATCACTGTGGGAAAAGTTACAAAGCTTTCAGGTTTAAGTCTCAGTCATACAATGATCAAACACCTTTCCCTTCACCAGTACTCATTTATCACCACCAAGAAACCCAATATACCCCCCTCCCACCCCTCCCAATGCCTGTGAGGCAGATGATTTCTATTGAACTCTTCACACATGACTTTGGATTTCTGCAAAGAGAGAGAGAATTACGAGATTGGTTTCTATGCATCTGGTGTTATGGCTGTGCCAGAGAGCCGCTCATGGGAGGCAACTTGTGACCTTGGTGAAGGACGAGCCGGTACCGCCCCCTTTCTAGGAGACTGCAGTTGCCCCGTCACCGCCAGCTCATACCTGGCTTTCCTATAAGCTCTGAGGCAGTGGCCATCTTGCTGCGGGGTGGGGTGGTGGGGAAGGCAGAAGGGAAGGGAGCAACACCCTTTTCCTCCTGGGGAGGCATGGCACCGTAGTTTAACACATGGTCCATTCACTTTTTGCCACAAGCTCCCGAGCTCTGGATTAAGTCCTTTTGCCTCTGGAGTCATGGCCATGCCGGAGATCTGCTCATGGGGGGCAACTTGTGACCTCAGTAGGGCGAAAGATGAGCCGGTACCGACCCCCCTTCCCATGAGACTGCAGTTGCCCCATCATGTCGGCTCATACCTGGCTTTCCAATAAGCTTTGAGGCAGTGGCCACCCTGAAATCCGTTCAAATGCATTTCTGCCAAAAGCCATTGGGGTTTCTGGATTTGTTTCTGAGTCTCTGGGACCACGACCATTAATCACCTTGATTAGGAGCCAGAGAGGCTGTTTGTAGGCGGTGACTCAGGGTCTCATTGGGATGGGGAGGAAAGGACCGGTTCCACCCCCATCTGGAGAGGCCTCGCGTGTCTTGTCACTGCAGGCCAAAACCTGACTGTCCAGTGACCTCTGGAGGATGGCAGTCACCAGGCCGCTAGGGGGAACAGGCCAAGGCAGGAAACCTACTCGCACCTGGAGTGGCCCAGCACCATTTACCTACTGCAGGAACAGGATGCATTTCTGCCAAAAGCCTTTGGGTTCTGAGATTAATTTCTGAGTCTCTGGGATCATGGCCGTTAAGCAGTTTGATCAATAACCAGAGAGGCCATGCCTCCAATTATATAGCTGAGCCAGAGGTGGTTTGAAGGTGTGTCTCCCACATACCTAACTTTTGGCCATTTACTTTCTTGTAAACTTTGCCCCAAGTTTTTGTGGTCTGCCCAAATATACAGCAGCAATTTTGGGGTATCTGAAAGTCTGACGGTGCCATCAGGCTGCTGATGCACTCACCTCACTGGTGCAGATTGACCTGCTGGCAGCACCATACCCCCACATTCTTTCATTATTAATATTATTAATGTTGTTGTTATTATTCTGTTTTGGGGTTACACCTGGTAATCCTCAGAGCTTAATGCTGGCTCTGCAGTCAGGAATTCCTCCTGATGTAGTTGGGGAGACCATATGGGACACTGGTGATCGAACCGTGGTGGACTGCATAAAAGGCAAGAGCCCTACATGCTGAGCTAACTCCCCAGGCCCTAAACATTCTTATTTTCTTACATTTAAACACTAAATAGGTATGCTTTAATTGCTAATTCAAACTTTCTGGTTAATTTTTGCAAGTGAGTGACACCTTTAACACAGAGATTAAGCACATTTTTTTAAATACTTCAGAAATTTGATTAGTATTTTTAAAAGTTTTTAGAGATAATTGAATGGATAATATCATCTGAAACTTTAGCTAGTAGTGTCAGTCATTATCTTATTGACATACATCCTTTGATCTTGTACACTATTACAATCCCTTCCCTATAGCTATTTAAAGGAGGCAATAATTTTTATACATGCCATTTTTAAATGAGTAAAAAAGTTTCTATAAACTATGTGGTCACTGAAATTCTGAAACTGCTCAAGTTATAAATGAATATAAGACTTTCTCCATAATAATTTGCCTACTAATTTAGCAGTGATTTTAACAGCAATTTCTCACAAAAAATAACAAAAGGCATGTCTGAAATTATTTTCATTTTGTTTAAAGAAAACTTGGTTGATGAAAAATCTAGAAATAACTAACATATGTATTAAATATTCTTAATATTATTTCATAAAATAATAATATAAAGTAGGATTGTTTTTTTAAAGCATAGAAAAAACAGGGCCATAATCTTAGTCCAAAGAGTCAATGTGGTACAAACTAAAATTTTGGGTTCTTCTTTTTTAAAATGTGGAACAATTATTTCTCATTAATAGGCTGAAATATAAGCAATGTACACAGCACTCAGTATAGTATTGACATTATAAATTCTAAATAAATTTGAAATGACCTAACATGATGGCAAATTCCCCTACTGAAAAATGAATTTTTAAAAGCTCTTATGGTTGTAGCTTCACATGATTAAAATCATAATTAAGATGTCTGGTAAGAATAATATTTAGAAATGTATACTTTGCCAAAAAAGGGGGTGTAATTTAAGTACACGAGAAAGCTAATCTTTGTAATGCATGATCTAATATTCATTGATTAAAATCACAAAATGTTGTGTTTGCCTATTAACATTGCATATGCCTTCATAGTTTCTTATTGCAGGTCTAACTTTACATTATGTGTCTGATTTAGTTTGAGTCTTTGTTACTGAAGCAGCATAGCGAAAGCATATATCTAAGGATTAAACGCTATAAATACACATTCTGAATTATTAATTTGCCAAATTTTGTTTTACCCTACTGCTTTTAATTATGCTGGTATCATAATTTGCTTCACATCCCAAATCCTATATACTCGTCTTCAACACCTACAACTGCCTGCCAACATCTTCGTCAGGGCAATGGCTTTTGCTGCCTTCTTGCACCCACTGAGCAAATGAGCTACATTCCCCAGCTGCTTAGTAAACGCTGTTCACACACAGTGAGGGGAGGGCCTCAGCAGAAGGAGCCAGCTGGCAAACACCCCGCCAAGGGGCAGCTTCCTTTTGCCTCTGCCTTTAATTAAGAGATGGCAACGGGCCCATCACCATGCAGGAGCGGAGAGGCCCAGTGACCTCTATTAGACCAGGGCAATCACAGGCAGAAATGCCAGCTGGCAAACGCTCCAGTCCTGGAAAGCTCTGCCACCTGTGTCTGGCCCAGAGCCATCCAATAAAACGGTGGTGTCATTCTGAAGGTTCAAAATCAGCTCTGGAAACCTATCCGGGTACTCAACTCAGTGCATAGCATAAAAAGCTCATTATCCTTTTCCCCTTCTGTTTTTGTTACTGAAATATTTTTCTTTTCAATGTTTAAGTATTTCATTGGCATGCTCATAGTTTTTCTTGGCAAAAAAATCTTAAATAAACATCATTACTGTAAAAATAAAATGTGGACAAGAGAATGTTAGTACCTTCTTCCCTGTAATACATTTATATCCATTTCTATATATTTATATATGTATATATATAGCCATATATATGTACATATATAGCTTTTGCTGCTTTTCTAACATGTAAAGAGGTAACCTGTAATTTATTTAGTACACTATTACAAAAATGTACAGAACATTTTTCCTAGGTCATTTCCTTACTTTGAGTTCTAAGGCTAGCAGAATGCAATATAACATCAAAATTAAAGGGAAATTTTAAGAAAAAATACATTTTAGGAAAAAATTGAACTAGTAAAATTATTATAAAAATGTATAAAACTCATTAGAAGGGATATTAACAAAATATATATCCTCCTTTACTTTTGAAACTTCTCCAGAAGCTTGGACCAGAGAGATACTATAGCATGTAGGGTGCTTGCCTTGCACATGGCAATTCCAGGTTCAATCCCTGGTATCCCATATGGTCCCCCAAGCACCTCCAGTAGTAATTCCTGAGTGCAGAGCCAGGAGTAATCCCTGAGTATTGCTGGGTGTGACCTTCAAACAAACAAATAGATCTTCCATAGAAGCAGTAGCTTGGGGAAAGGTAAGGTTTTGGGTAGATGTGTATGAAACTCATGCATATGCTGAGAAATAATAACATCATAAACATTATTCATAATGGGAAAACAGAAAAATTTCCTCAAAAAATAAAAACAACTAGTAATTGGTCTAGCTAGTTGCTTCGGGGGGAGATAAAGCAGCACCTTATGTACTTGTCAAACTTTTCATTTTCCTGCTTTGAACTTTACTTCATGTAAGATACTTATACCAAAATACCTAATTTTGTGTTTTATTTTCAAACGTTAGTATCCCTTTAACTTCATATAAAATAAATCTTAGTTACAACAAAGATTTGGAAACTAAGTTTTTTTTTTGTTTGTTTGTTTTGTTTTTTTGCTTTTTGGGTCACACCTGGCAATGCACAGGGGCTACTCCTGGCTCTGTACTTAGAAGTTACTCCTGGCAGTGCTCAGGGGACCACATGGGATGCTGGGAATCCAACCAGGGTCGGCCGTGTGCAAGGCAAATGCCCTACCCGCTGTGCTATCTCTCCAGCCCCAAGATTTGGAAACTAAGTTTTTACAGAATTCACTCAGTACATCTATGTAGAATTAAAACTTTATTTGCTTAGGTTTGCATAAGTATGCATGCAATAAAATTTATAAAATCATAAATAAAAGGTCAGAAAGATAGCACAGCAGGGAACATGGCTGAGCCACCCCATAAGGGTGATCCCTTAGCCCCACCAGGAGTGATCTCTGAGCACAAAGTCGAGAGTAAGATGTGAGCATGCCTGGGAAAAGCCCAACAAACAAAACACTATATACATACAGCAAAAAATACCCCAAACAAACAAGCAAAAGAGAATAAAGAATGTAAATCTCAATTTAATGAACTACTTTTGGCTAGAGCGATAGCACAGTGGTGCCTTGCACACTGGAGACTTCGGTTCAATTCCTCCATCCCTCTCAGATGCAAGCTACCAAGAGTTTCCCTCCTGCTTGGCAGAGCCTGGCAAGCTCCCTGTGATATACTCGATATGCCAATAACAGTAACAACGAGTCTCACAACGGAGACATTACTGGTGCCCGCTTGAGCAAATGGATGAACAAAGGGAGGACAGTGCTACAGTGCTACATTTTTGGCTATATCTATATCAAAAAATAGAATCCTAGACATCTAGACCTCTATGTAAATATAGAGTACAACTGCTGTATTTTGGGAATCAGTGATGGATATTAAATTTACTCAATCATTAATATTAATTTTTCTTCCTTTTAGATTAGCAGTAGGGCATTTGATTTGCGCACAGCCAGCTCGGCCAAGCCGGGTCATTTCCTCTGCCCCTCACGGAGAGCCTGGCAAGCTACCGAGAGTATCCCTCTTCCCTCCGCATGGCAAAACCTGGCAAACTACCTGTGGCGTATTCGACATGCCAAACACAGTAACAACAAGTCTCAAAATGGAGACATTACTGGTCCCACTTGAGCAAATCGATGAACAACGGGAGGACAGAGACAGTGACAATGTTCCTTTTACTAATATTTAAGAATTCTTAACATGGTAAACTATACACTAAAAGCCACTCCCTGAGAGATTCTCAGTCTTATTGGGATAATGTGTTTGGTACTATGCTTTTGTGAAATATTCTTTAAGTATATTTATATTACCTAATGGTTGAATAGGTGCACATATTATCAGTAAGTCATAATAATAAAGACAATTTTCAAAACGATTATTTATATTTTATTCATCTACTTAAAAACAATTGAATTTTACATGGATAGACATACAAACCCTGGACTGAGTATTTGGAAAATCTTTCCTTCTCTCCCCCTCCAAACTCCACACTGAATTACTGTTCTCTCTTGAGTTTTACACAGATAATTTCTAAATTAATGAGTGCAAGGAGAGCTAATGAAATAAACATTATTGAGTTTTATAGAATAATGCTTCAGGCTTACCTAGACTCTTATCTTGCATATGCATAGAATGCTGAATTCTAAGGTTTTCATTGATAGATCTAGCATTATTCATAGTATGTATTAGTATGGGCTGGAGCGATAGCACAAAGGGTAGGGCGTTTGCCTTGGAAGCCGCCAACATGGCCCACCCGAGTTCAATTCCTCTGCCCCCCTCAGAGAGTCCAGCAAGCTACTGAGAGTATCTCACCCGCACGGCAAAGTCTGGCAAAGCCTGGCAAGCTACCTGTGACGTATTCGATATGCCAAACACAGTAACAATTGTCACAATGGAGACATTACTGGGCCCGCTTGAGCAAATCGATGAAGAACAGGAGGACAGTGACAATGACAGTATTAGTATAAAAAATATCATTTCCCTTAATTTTTCGAGTGCCCTGTTTTGGACAATTCTTAGGTCTTGCAAAGTAAACTTTTGAATCTTTTTTACCTTTATTATTCTTCCCTAAGAAAGAAGGGATACTATTTTTGTAAGTTTGAGAGAATCAATTGAGTAACTGTGATTGAATCTTCTTTTTGAATTGTGCTTCTCTGAATTATACTTGTAATCTTTTCACTCTAATTTTCATTAAAAAATTATGGATTATAATTTTTGCATTGTAGTCTTTAACCCGCTTCTTAGAGCCTGAGTTGGACACAACACAGCCTGTTGGAATTCAGGTTGTTCTAGTGGTGAACTTCATTCAGATACATGTTTATACAAAAACTAACAATGAAATGGTGTTGAAAGTTGTAGCACCTTGTAGGTGGTTAGATATCTACTCCATATTTCTGCTTTAGAAATTAAGTTCTTTTTCCTCTTGTATTACTCTTCTTATCAATAGCTTATTTTTAAGTAGAGTTAGTATTAGGGATGATTATTATTTCTTTTAAATATTTTCATCATTTTAATTTTAGGGAGTAATGTATCTCTATGTATATACTGTGTTGGGGGCAATATCAGAAATATTTAGCATGGCAGTGAAGGTTGAATGTTTAATGCTAACTTAATGACCTTATGGTCCCCAAATGTTGGCCATCTTCTGCACATGTTCTGACTCGTTGAGCAATGTCATTAACTCCTATTATTGCCTTAGATCTCCAAAATTATGTTAAAGTATGAAATAGTATGAAACGCAAGATACAAGATACAATTAGAAAGGAAAACAATCAGGTAATTGTAGAAAATATGAAGCACACTTTTTTATTATATTTTTGCTTGACTTTTTAAATATGTATATATTATAAAAACAATTTAGCTTCCCATAATTCCTAGATAGTGCAAATATTTTTTAGTGTTTCTAATCATGAACATATGTGCTTTTTTTGTAAGTATACTCAGTAACTACTGATGTTTAACATCCTAAGTGTTAGGGACACTTTCCAAATATTGTACACTTTTTTCTTCTAATGCTGTGAAACATAGTCAACTGATGTTAGACTATATGGCAACAAATTGACAGAAGAAACTCTGACAATAAAAAAAATAATCATGTAGGGTATTCCTTGTACACTTTTAGCCTCCAGAATAATGACTGCTGAATCAAATGTCACTGACTTACAGGAAATATTACAACATGCTTTTCTATAAACCAAATAATTGGAGTTGATCTTCTTTAAAGGAAAAATAAAAATTTTTATTCTGTAAATCCTACCTTCTCAAAATACTTGATTTCGTACTCTAGGATGATTCCATTGGGACGATCTGGTTCTTGCCAAGACAAGGAGATACTGTTTTTTGCAATCTTTCCTTTTTTCACATTGGTGACTGGTGAGGGGGCTGAAAAATAGAGAAGTAAAATTATAATTAATAACATATTGAAATAAAAGGTATGTGTTTGTACAATGACCTTTTTACATGGATTATAATAAAAGTTCAAAGAAATAAATTTTAACCTGGATGCAGGATTACTTTTTTCTGTATATGTTTTTATAGTTATATTTTATAAACATAACTACCATAAGTATTCCAAGATGTTAAATCACTAGTCGCAGAGAATTTTAAGTCTACCTTTTCTTTACAATATTTAGAATAATAACTAAACTCACCTTTCTTATATAAAAAAATTACTTATTGGCTTTGTATAATTTTGGTTTTGAAAATTTAAGGATTATGCATCATGTATTTTATTATGCTAAAACAATATGATTATCTGTTACCATCTTTATATACTATATCATTAGGGTTTTTTAAAATGTATTTCTGAAATCATATAGATCCTTCATCATTAATCTATTCATACAATGAGTTTACTAGTGATTTTTCTTAAAAGACATTAAACATGTCATGTATCTTGAAGATAACAGAAAGTGAAAGCAGCATTTTCTATTATATTTTGCCTCAATATTTTATTGGAGATTAAAATCACAGTATTCACTGTTACCTTACCCAGTGTTTATCCAATCATTTATTTATAAAAAATGTGATTCCAAATTACACTATCTTGAATTCAGAATTATATGGATATTGATCCAACACTTTTATAAATCTAATAAGACATATATTCCTGATTTGATACCAAGAATGTGCATTGTTTGATATGGATAACGTTAAACATATGAAACCTTTTGTTGTTTAATATGCTTTTTACATTGTTTTTCTGTTTCTAATGTATTTTTCTGACACTTATCTTGGAATGTTTAAAATTTCATACAGTACTTAGGACAATCTGTATAAAACAGTATGTCTATAAAATTCAAAATTTTTAACATTAAAAGGTCAGACATAGTAAATGGAGGCTTTTCATTTCTGAATAGCATGAAACACTGGATAAAATTTCATGTTTTTGCTCTATGAATTTACATTTTTCTTTGAAACTTTTCCTTTCCAGCATAGCTCAGTCAGAAAATCATACAAATTTGCCACGTTCAATGAATTCTTTTCCACATACTAAAACATGTAATCCAACTGGAGGCACTGCTTTGAAGAACAGATGGAAAGAACAAAGCTTAGAACTATTTGTTGGCTTCACTAGAGAGTGAAAGAGGTTAGGGAAAGACATTGATTGTTTGAATTGGAAGTGAGATCATGTCATGCCTACTTAAAAGGTGACAGGGTCCTCCTTTTACTCTCACTCAGGAGTAAAATCTAAATGCTTACGTACATACAAGCAGCAAAACCCTTTATTATTTTGATATTCCCTATCAACAGCTCTACCTCCTACTCTTCCTTGGCTCTACGAGACTTTCTGTGTTTAGAGTACTTATGTACACTCCCACCTAAGGAATATTATACTTGCTAAGTCTAGTCCTCCCTCCATCCCTTGCTTTCTCCCTTCCTTCTTCAACATCTCCCTCTTAAAGTTTTATATATATATATATATATATATATATATATAATATACACATATATACAAATATAAAATGTTACCTTGTTATCTCACTCTATACATAGAGTGAGGTAAGATGGTTTTATATCAATTTCTGTGTTTTGGGCATACAAAGTTACTGCATCACTAATACTATCACCAAAGTGTATCCATTAAACTCCTTTGTAAGTTCCCGAATTCCTCCACTTCTTCTCCTAACTTCATATAACTTCAGATCTGTTGTTAGAGCAATAATTTCTTCTCATTAGATATTGATCTTTCTCTTGTTTTGTTTCCTTGTATGCCATATAGGAGAAAGATTATCCAGTATTTGTCCTTCTCCCTTTGGCTTTTATTTTTTATTTGGCGTGACTGTCTCTGCTACCTCTAAGTTGTGCAAAAAGCATTACTTCTTTAGTAGGTGAGCAGTAATTCATTGCATAGATATTTCACAGTTCCTTTATCCACTCATCTGTTGTGAGTTGTTTACAGGTCCTGACTTTGTAAATAGTGCTGCCATGACATACGTGGGCCTGAATTTTTATAAATTGCTATTTTGTGTGTGTTCCAAAGTAGAACAACAAAACATCCAAACACATCAAAAGTTAGAGAGAAAATCTGAACAGACTTCCTCATACAGATGGCCAAAAGGCATCTAAAGTCTAGTTGCCATTGATTATTCAGGAAATGCAAACCAAAATGACAAGGAAATATCACTTTACATCGGTGATATACCCAAAAGACTAGAAACAAAAAAATGTTCATAGGAAGGTGGTGAAAATATAAAAAGCCCTGATCACTGTTGGTATCTCATTCCCTACAGAGAGAAAGTATGAACACTTTTTAAAAAATGAAATAACTAACCTATGAACTTACTTGAGCCATTTCAGAATACAGAGGTTCTTTTCCTATGAATTCTCATTGAGACTACTGTATATTCCATAATTCAAGTAACCAACTCTCACCCACAACCCCTCTCTGTATTTCTTTAGTGTTACACTTAGTTTTGCATTTGACTATCTGATTGAAATACATTTACTTTATTGTAAAATAGAATGAAATTGTATCAGGGATATTATTCATTGGTTTCACTATGAAATTCCTAAACCTGGAATAGTGCCAGAATAAGAAGATGGCAAACAAACATATGGTATGAATGCTGGTAAAAGGAAAAACTAAGACACATAAAAACTATTTTTAATTTATGTTCGATTCCTCTGCCCCTCTTGGAGAGCCCTACAAGCTACTGAGAGTATCCCACCCCCACAGCAAAGCCTAGCAAGCTAGCCGTGACGTATTAGATATGCTAAAATCAGGAGTAACAAGTCTCACAATGGAGATGTTATTGGTGCCCGCTTGAGCAAATAGATTAGGAGGACAATGCTACAGTGCAGTAAAAATCCCACCAAGAAACTCAACCTGTTTTATAAAATGAAAATAGTTGTATTCATAATAAAGCACAACTAGTGAAAGTTTCAGGGATTTTGTTAATTTAATGTATATTTTTATTTTAATCACATACTTTGTGATAGGACTGGAGCAATAGCACAGCAGGTAGGGAGTTCGTCTTGCACACGGCCGACCTATGTTTCATTCCTCTATCCCTCTCGAAGAGCCCGGCAAGCTACCGAGAGTATCCTTCCCTCGTGGCAAAGGCTGGCAAGCTACCCGTGACATATTTGATATTCCAAAATCAATAACAAGTCTCACAATGGAGAAGTTACTGGTGCCCGCTCGAGAAAATCGAAGAACAAAGGGAGGACAGTGGACAGTGGACTTTGTGATATAACCAAGAAAGCCATATTCAATCTTGCCTTGCTCTTTGAAATATGTCAATATTTACAGTGTTGTTTGTAATATTGTAGAATATAGAGTGCATAATAAGTCATGACTAGTAGTAATGTTAAAATTTCAGTTGGTTTAACGCTATGGAAAATTGATGACTTACAGGTCTGTTATCACAGTAACATTTACAAATAATCTCAAAGTCCCTATTGACTTTGGAGAGATTAAAATGACTTATAATAGATAGCACCATGGACCAACCATCTAGAAGATATGGAAACAAGTAAATTCTGGGCTCTCTAGTGTATCAAAAAAGTTTATAATGAAATAGAAAATTACAAAATTAATATCATAACAGAAAATAAAATGAAAAGTATATTTTATACTATACTTTATTTTTTATTTAGTTGTATCTTCATAACTTATCTTGAATTGTGAATCGCATTATCGTATTGATCACTATTTATCACATTATACAAATTTCAAAAGATGTCTTCAAATATATTTATCATTTAGTCACATTTAAATATTCTGATTTTTATATTTATTTCAGAGATTCATCAATTTTCAAAGTAAACTGATGGTGATTCAACTTTTCTGTTTATAAAATTACACTTAGCGGGGCTGGAGCAATAGCACAGAGGGTAGGGCGTTTGCCTTGCATGCAGCCAACATGGCCGACCTAGGTTCGATTCCCAGCATCCCATATGGTTCCTGAGCACCGCCAGGAGTAATTCCTGAGTGCATGAGCCAGGAGTAACCCCTGAGCATCGCCGGGTGTGACCCAAAAAGAAAAAAAAAATTACACTTAGCAGTATGATCCCTGAAGGCAGGGATTAATCTAATTTAGTTCACTGATACATTTTCAGCACTCAGAAATTACTTGGAATATAGATGTTTTAAAATTATTTGTTGAAGAGATGCATAATTGAATGAACAGAAAATATGTATATCTTCATGCATTATTCAAAACTGAATGTGTCTCATCTTAAATGCATCTTATTAGTTGGGGATTTGTGCTTTATTTTAGGCTTAATCAATTCTATAATAAACAATCAACATTTTCAAAGTGAATCTATCAAATAAATATCAACACAGACATAACTAGCCTGAAAGGGAATACTTTATTTACCTGAAACCATCAATGTTAAACATGAATTTCAATGCTTTCAAACACTGCTTGCTTTAATAAATGTCATTATTTTCTGAATTTGATTTTCCCAGAGGCAAAATAGTACACTTAAAATTTTAAAAGAGTGGGTGAAATGTGAGAGAGAAGATCACTGCTCAACTCAAAATAGTTCAGAAATAATTTTCCCTGTAGTAAGACCGTGCTTACACCATTTGGATATAGCTGATTCAAATGGGAACACTGACAAATCCTGGGCATATACCAATGAGATGCGCCAAAATGTGAAAGGTAGCACTCATACAGTACTGCTAAGTATTAGCCACAATGTATTGTGCACATAATGCATCATCATGCATACGCCATGATAACTATAAACAAATTTGTCACGAAGAGGACATGTTTAATTCATCTTCAGTTTTCTTCCTTACATATAATTTTTGTTCTTTCTTAAGAAGTCAGAAGGCACACAGACAATACAGCTGCTAAGACACTTGACATACATTTGACCATCCTAGATTCAATCCCCTGAGCTTATGATCCCGTGAACCCCAGCAT